AGCAAGGTGCGGGCGCAACACCGAGGGTTGCGATCCCATTGCCGGTCACGAAAAAAGACAAAAAGGGAAAAAAAAAAAATTAAAAGAAACAAACCCATAAGACAATGATGTAAACTGTACAAACTTATACATAATTGACGGTCATCCTTTATGTTACAGATACTTACTAACTCCTGTTAAAACCTATGTCTATCCTACGTATGGATGCTACATTGTACACAAGAACATGCATCCTGTTTCAATCAAATGGAAATTTAAAACAAACACACAAATGACATGCAAAGACATACTTTACACCAAAAATATACTGTATGTAGACTGTGTAAGACTGAGTTGAGCTCATTTCTAGTCTTTTAAGGCACTGGTAAATATATCTGACACAAAATGTATGTTAACCAGTATATTTGGAAGTTGAGATAATTAAATATTTCTGTGTCTCTACCAGATGCATAGCTGGGATGTGGATTTTGATTAAATTTTATGCGGTTCTCATGATCTTAGAACTGGAAAAAATTTTAGAGATAGCCTTATCAGCCAAAGACTTTTGAGATTTTTACTTACTTCCCCTTCTGTTCTCATGGAGATAAAAACAGGGTTTTGAGGAGGACCCAGATAACCTTTTTAAAAAATATGTTAGGATTTTTCCTTATATTAAAAATTATATGGTCTTACTATAAGAATGATTTAAAAAACATAGCAATTTATAAGGAAGAAAATAAATATCACCGAAAAGGTAGCTTGATTGGTAAGACTCTTAATATTATGGTGTATTTCTTTTCTAGGCTTATTTATACATATTCTGTTTATTTTGCATGATTAGCTTTATACTTTTAAAATTATTTTGCATTCTCCATATATCATGTAACATTCTAGTGTGACCATGTCGCCTGTCATTAAATGTACTTTGAAAAAAATGACTACCAAATATTCTAAAGTTTGGCCATGGTTCACTATTATAATTCCCACATTACTTTTTTAATACAGTTTTAACTTTACAGAAAAATTAAGCAGATGTTAGAGAGTACCCGTACATTCCCTCCTCCCCCCATATACAGTTTCCTCTTTTTAATGTCTTATATTAGTAGGCACACTTGTTACAATTAATGAACTAATATTGATACATTATTATCATCTAAAGTCCATAGTTTATTCATATGTCTTTAGTTTTTATCAAGTGTGCTTCTTTTGTTTTCGGATGTCATTAAGTGTAAAATACATTTAGTCATCATGTCTCTTCAGGCTCCTTTTGGTTGTGATACTTTCTCAGACCCTCCTTGTTTTTGATGACATTAGAAGTTTTGAGGAATACTATTCAGATATATTGCAATTTGGAATATATCAGACCCTCCTTGTTTTTGATGACATTAGAAGTTTTGAGGAATACTATTCAGATATATTGCAGGATGTCACTTTATTGGAATTTGCCTGATATTTTTCTCTTAATTAAACTGGGGTTTTGGGTTTGGGGACAAAGACCACAGAGGCAAAGTACCATTTTTGTCACATCATATCAATTACATAATTTCTTTGTAATTACGAATGTTGATGTTGACCTTGATCACCTGGCTGAAGTAGTGTTTGGCAGGTTTTTCCACTGTAAAGTTACTCCCCACCCCCTTTCCACACCACACTCTGGGAAGGAAGATGCTATGCACAACCCTCACTTAAGGAGTAGGAAGATATGTTCTTTCTCCTTTACAGTGGAGTATCCACATAATTTATTTGGAGTTCTTCTGCATAGGAGATTTATCTCTTCTCCCCCATTTATTTATTCAATCATTTATTTATATCAGCATGGACTCATGTGGTTATTTATTTTATACTTTGGGTGTAACTTTCATGTACCACTA